GGGGGGTCGCGTTTCCCGGGACGGCGGGACAGCGGAGCGGGCTGCCAGGAGCGCCCAACGCCGCCTGCACGAGGGGGTCTGGTGCTGGTCGTGACCCGCTCCGGCGCGGCCAGCAGGTGCGTCCAGGCTAAAAACGACCTACCGTGATTTTTGCTAGCAGTTGGTTTTCGGCTAGGGTCAAAACGAGCTCTTGTGGTTTCACCTTTACCCCACGCGCGTTTCTGACGTGGAGGCCGGTCCCTGTCACCAGAGTCTGAGGAATTCTCCCTGCCCGGGCCAGACGTCTGAGTCTTTTATTAAAAAAGCTGTGGGTGAAACCCCAAAGCGTCTTTTATACTTTTCCCAAATTTCATCAACAATAATAAAATCTATGAAGATATTTTTGGCAAGCTTTATTTTGTGAATCTGCTTTTTAGTGCCTCTTTAAGAATAGTATATTTTGATTAACAATATCCCTTTTCAAATTACACACATGCAATGAAGATTGCAATTCACATGTTGCCTGAAGTAGTCTTTCTGTTTTATCCAGTTTTAGTTGTCGCACAGAACTTTTTTTTTTTCTTAATTTCTATAATAATTAAGTGGAATAAACAATTTCTTTATTACTCAGTAATATTTTGGAGGTTCCTTATTACTCAGTAATATTTTGGAGGTAATAAGCAGCTGTAAAATGATCATATATGAATTATAATGTTTTGCTTTTTTTGGTGAAAATAGCATTTTGTACAGAAATGTAGTATTATTTTTGGAATATTTAAATATTTAAAACTGTAAAATAATGTGCAGCGTTTACATCAAGTGATTCATTTAAAAACACTAGCCAGTCAGATCTGTCATGTAAAGTTCTGAGGGATGCCTGTTAAAACAAAAGTAGTTTCTTTTCAGTTTAGTGCTATGTACATGTGCATAGTCACTGGCAAAAGAAAATTGAGAAGGTGGTGGAGCACAAATAGCCAAAAAAATGAATGGCATTAAATCCTTTATGATTTGCTGAAGTTTAAAAAGCAATTTATTTTAGTGTATTACCAAGAGTTATGACACGAAAGGAGCGATGGGGCTTGCAAAGAGCCTGGGTCAGCCTGGCTGACCAGGCGCCAGCTGCAGCGTGCAGGAGTCGCGGCCCTGCGTGTCGGCTCCTGCACAAGTTGGTTTTCTGGCTGTGACTGGGAGAAACACAAGTAGCCTCCGGACCACTCCACCCTGTAGTGAAATACCAAACCAAAAGTGGGGGGTGGAAAACAGGCTAATAAACACACACTCACTTAAAGCAGTGTTATCTAAAGCATTTTTCTGTGTGTGCATGTGTGGGGAAAAAGGAGTTTAAGTGTGATTTATTTATGATAAAAAGGATTTCTGGAAAGACAGGCAAAAGTACTTCGTGTAGCTCTTATACTGGTAAGTGGGTATATCAGCTGCCTATCGATCCACATGTTGAACTGTGTACACACGTTTGCTGTCATCAGAATTTTTCAAGTATTGCTTTCTACCAGTTTGATTTTAGGTGGTGCAGCCTCATGTTTCAGATGAAGTTTGGGGTGTTAGTGCTTTCTCAGTGTGTGTATTGTGCTTCTGATCAGGCCCTGGTTTTACTCCAGGAGGGAAGCACGTTAGTATAGAGAATAGGCTGCTTGCACTGAACAGATCTGTGGAACTTGTTGCTCTTGCCTTTACCACAGTGATTTTTTTTTAATGTTGCAGTAAACATTTGTGATGTGGGAACATATTTGCCAGTAAAAAACTGTTTAGGGGGAAAGTGAGCTGGTTACTTTTGATTACTTTTAGCGCTTGATTTATTTCACGTGTCCCTTTTTTTTTTCTTTCTTTCTACTAGTTTCTGTTCGTGAAAAGGTTTGGTCTACAAATGGTCAGTTTTATATTACTGAACAGGTTTTTTTTTTTAAG